CCTTCAGTGCGATGGCCATGCCTGTGGCTGGCTGGGTACACAGCTCTGGGCCTAGGATCCTCGAGTATTTCGTGCCCCAACTGGCTTTCCTTCCCAGGCAGGCTTGGGAGAGTTAGGTGTGTAGGGGTAAATGCTGATAAGTTGCCCGGCTGTGCACATTCCTTTCTGCCCTAAATCATTTCCCCTGGGGTGCTCTTATCAGTCTGCCTGGGCCCCCCCCCCCGCAGCATTGTGCCTGGGGCTACAGTGCTTCTGGGGGTGCCAGGCCGTGCAGCCTTCATGTCACCCCCTTCCCCATGCAGCTAGCGCCTCATGTGGCAGGCTAGCCCCAGCCTTTCCCTGCCCCTTTGGGACTTCCTGAGGTGGTGGGAGAAGAGGACTACCTATACACCTGACCACTGGCTGTCTGATTCAAAGAGCAATGCTACATCCCAGCCATTGACTGGAGACCAGCATGAAAACCAGCTTTTTCCTCTACTTGTTTCCATTAATGGGCTGAATAAATTTTATTGTGTGCACTGAGGCATGTGCAAATGTGCACCAACAGGAGAAATTCATGCTGTCAGGTGCTGCCAGCTGTGGATGTGCTGCCAATCGGCTGGGCAGCCTTTGTATCTTTCCCTGGCGGCAGCCCAAGCGCTCAGCTTAGCCTTAGGGGGAACACTGATGAAAACCATCTCTAACAGGCCCCGATTCAGCAAAGGATGCCATCACCCTGCTTACTGTGAACCTGTGCTGACCTCCTTTGAACAGGATGGGGGGCCGGCATTATTAATGTTCCTACAACCTGCCGACAGAATAAGATGTAAAAAAGTCCTTTGAAAAGTTCTCTGTACAAGGGTCAGCCGGTCCCTCCCCACTCACCTCCCCTCCACCTCCAGGTTTCTGCAGTGACTCAGTTACAAATTAAAGTGGAAATATTGTGCTGCCACTAAGAGTTGCCATAGGGATGGGGTCACATGTCATACACAGAGGAATGAGGAGTTTATTGCAGGGACAATCCTGGCCGGTCATCCTGCCCCCCCACTTCCCTGCTCCCCCCGTGGGTGGAAGCAGGTAGCAGTGATTGTGAATGTAATTTTTCAGCCGCAAGAAAGCAAAGGAACAGATGCTGAGCTTCTTACTCAGCCAGTGATGTTTGCCTGAGTAAGGCATGAGTAACAACTGCATTGTGTCATTGAGGCAGAGCAGGGGGAGAGGGGGATCCGCACCTGGACAGGCAGAAGGCTCCTTAGAATGCCCAGAGGCTTGTATGCCAGGTGATTGCTACTATACCTCTCTGCAGGGTGCAGTGTGAATTACTGCCTGGCCTGTCTTATCTGCCATCAGGGATCAGATCCCTGGAGTGCATGGGCTGCCTAACAGAGCAAGGGAAGGCTTATTAAGCCCCTCCTCCACAGACATGCACTTCCGGGTGAAGATCAGGCACAAGATGGGAGCGGGAATTTGACCCCAAGGTTTTTCTCGCCATCATCTCTTGGGTTTCTTAGCTTGTGAGGAGAGAGATTTTGGCCCCCTAAAGATTCCAGTCTCAAGCCAAGGCGTGCTTTCCTGGAAATGACCAAGGGAAGTTGGAGGGCTGTGTGCTATAAAGGATATTTTGCACTGGCCCTTTCCTCCAGTCTGCAGGGGCGGGTATTTTATTTATAGTTCTGTAGGTGGATAGAATCCATTGTTGAACTTGGTGGTATTCCAGGTCATTCATTCATTCATTCATTCATCCATTCAGCCTTCTTCCCATACTGTGAAGGGTGTTAGCCAGCTCTCAGAGAGGTGACACACTCAGGTCAACTACACAGTTACATCCAGGTCAGTTGGTGATCCCAAAACAATGGGCCAAAGTGTCAACCAATGTCTGCTAATTGCTGTCACCCACAAAACACGAGCTCATTAAAAGAGGGGGATCCAAAGAGGGAGATCCCAATCCCGTTCATGACCCATGTGGGCGTAAATGATTACACTGGATGGAATTTTTTAACAACCAAGGAACTTGTCCTCAACCCTGCATTAAAAGAACATGAACAGTGCAAAATCGAGCGCTCGGATGTTTGGATGTGCCAAATGCAGGCTGCTGATGCAGCCTTAATGTGGCTCCCTTTAAAATGTGGCTGTCTTCAAATGACAGGATCACATACTATTTTTTCCACAGTCCCTATACTCTCAGCTTCAGTGTCCTGCACTAATCACAGAGAAAGTCCTGACCATCCCCTGCAGCTCTAGGGTGGAACATGCTCAGTCTAGATGGAATCGTCAGAGAATTTACTTGCCAAATGCTAACAAGTCTCTCCTGAGTGTGTGGCACTAAAGTTTCCCAAAAGTTTGTAACTTGGCCAAAAGCAGATTTTTTTTCATGGGGCAGCAAAGTCTTATCCCTGACCAAGCCAAACCCTCCCCTGCCAAATTTCAAGTCCCTGCTCCAGAACATGGAGGTGTTAGAGCTATTTCTCAGGGAAAAAGCCGTAAGAATTTTTTTCCAGACAATATACTTTTTCCTTCTCTTGTTCTCAGAAATGGCTGAAGCTTTTCAGAAAAGTCCAGCCTGAGACAGACACCTGCCGTGGCAAATTTCAACCCAACCGGGAAAATGTAGCAAAGTTACAAACAACTGAAAACTGGGTAAGCTTAGCTGGTAACTCTTCCTAGAACTATTTGTATAACATTAGTGTCTAGAGGTCCTGGCCAACACCAGGGTCCCATCAGGGCCAGCCCGAGCCATTCACGTGCCCTGGGCCCCGGGAGCGCGGCGCCGCCCCCGGGAGTGTGACACATGCATGGAGCCCCCCACTCCCCGGGCGCCTGGCACATGCGTGGCTCCGCCCCGGGCGTGCGGAGCATGCATGGTGCCACCCCCGCCCTGCCCGGCAGCCCCACACGGTGCTCCCTAAAATGGAACATCTTGGGCGGTAGCCCAGCTGTCCCATACCTTGTGGGGGCCCACCAGGGGCTATCCCTGGCAGTGTGGATCTGGCCTGTGGGCCAGTATTTGCTCACCCCTGTGCTAGCTGCAAGCACATACTAAGACACAGCCCATGCCCCAAAGAACATGCTATTCCTATGGCTAAATAGGCAAGGCAGACCAAAGATAGGAGGGGAAACAGACCGGAAATGTCTTCTCAAGGTCACGCAGCAGGTGAGCGGCAGGGGCAGGAATAAATCCCAGGTTTCCTGACTCCTGATGCAGTGCTCTGAACTACCCTCTTAGCCCACCAATGGGGAAGAATGCAACTGCTGCTTCTGAAATGTGAACCAGACAAACCACTCCCCAACTTGATTGCTCTCCAGCATAGCTTTCCTCCAAGGATACCGAATGCAAGCCAAGCAGGATGTGATCTTCAAACGTGCTCAGCATTGGCTGAATTCTGCTTGCCCTGAAGTCCCTGCTTTAGAGAACCCCACTCTGAGTGTATAGCAAACCAATTCTCTTTCACAATCAGTAAAAAGGTTGGCATGTTGTCTAGTCAGCTACAGTCCTGAAACCAGTGGGGAAAGCAACTTCAGATTTCTTACCGGTACTGCAACCCGGGTCCTTGCCAGCTCTTTAAATAGCTCCCTGCTGGCTTCTGCCACAACTCAGCCAGCTTCTTCCGGAGCTGCACACCATGTCGCCCCCGCTTCCAGTCACCTCTGCCTGAAACCAGAGTGCCACCTTGGCATAAGCTGGGGTAAGGGAATGAAGCATCACGCTTTGTTCTGCAGGAATTTCCTGGCTGCGTGGTGAGTTCCATCGACTGTCACTGAGTTCCTGTTAACAGGACCCTCGCTACACGACAGGTGG